GGGACGATGAACTCCTTTTATTCTCCATACCAGTTATGCAATATATTGCAGTCTGTGAAAATTTGGACCGTCACTGACATTGTATTGTACATAATGTGTATGTCAGAAACAATGCTGCTACATGTGTGTGTGTGAGCATGGTGAGTGCACCGGCAGCTCAAGATCTCACACAAATACTAAATATTCACAAAAATACTAAATATCTGAACACAATAAGTACATATATACTGGTTATGCTTCTGTACATGCTGTAACAGAAAGAAATTAGGTTAGAGCAAACTGGTAAGACACACAGGTTCATCTCTTTAAGCATACACTAAAAAAGGGCAGAGAGTGAAAACGTCATAATGCATTTTTACTGAAGACTGACAAGGTAAAACCAAAACACAAGGTTTACAAATGATTCATGCCGGTGTTGTATAAAAACAAGTAATTTATGTTATACATGCGATTTACCTCCCAGCAAAGTTAAATGTACAATCTGTCATGTCCAAAAATTATTCTTCACATTGTACCCATGAGCATTCACCTTTCGGAGAGAATTTCATGCTGCTTGACACCCTGTGTACTAACTCTACCTTCATGGTATTTCTGACTGAATACTTCAATTTTCTGCAGGTAAATTTAACTTTTTAGGGCATATTATTGTTTTCAGATATATGTAGCTAATGGGTTACTACAAGGAAAAATGAGTGGCATCCATGATTGGAATTTTTGCCAACCATTTGTATAATAAATCAAGAATGTCTGCTAATCTTCACAAGTTTCTTCAAATCATTAGAAGTTCTTTCCTACTTGCTACATTGACTTACATCACAGATAAATGAAGTGATGCTAACAGCAACCCCAGCATGTACTTTACAGATGTTTAACATCAACAGCTTGTAGTTTTATTGTGTATTCAACATGCCACAAGGCTAAGATTAATGCCACACCTATTGCTTCATGATAACATATGCCATATGTAGTATTCCAAGAACCTTTGTGCAGCAGTCAGATCACCATGCTCCAGGTCAGTGATTTCATTTGATGACACACTGCAGAGTCTGTATGCCACACAAAAGGTTCAGTATGTACAGTACATGTACTCACAAACAAGTTCCACACACAAAAGGCTGGGATAGCTGGCATGGACCTTTGTTCAGTGTAAAGCTTCCTTACATGGCACAGACACAAACACAGTCATCCCTTGAAAGCGCTGTTAATACATTTTGCATTTAGGTCCAATTTGTTTGTTCATTGTTTTAATTGCTGATAATACAAAGTTTCTGTCATACCAATCAGCAAAGTCCAAAGTTTCACTGTATTATCATGCCATCACTGTAATTCACATACGTTTCTGGTTGTGTGTGAATTAATAATACTTTTCCTTAGGAGGGAAGTGATATTGCACTTCAAATTTCAGGGGGAATTTTCTTGGTACATTTATAATAAGATACGTGTATATTCAGAAATTTGTGTAGAACTGAGGGAATTTCCCGAGTTCAACTTTTTTTGGTGCAGAGATGGACAATTTGGGTTTTCAAGGAATGCAAATCCTTTTGAAATACAGCGATTCAAGGTTCACCCTATGTTTAGGGGCTTTTATGGGATTGAGGAAGGTAAAGGCTTAATTGATGATCCAAACTGTGTACATGTTTGCATTGCAAAGGATAAGCAACACAGAAACAGTTTGACATCAGGAAGATTCACAGCAAAAATATCTCCCAAGTTAGGGGCTCACGACTGCTTAAGAAAGAAATCATAGACCATCAATAATATAAATACAGATTGTACAAACAAGCACTCCCTTTTCAGTCATTTATGTTTTTAATACCTTTTACAATATGGCAGTGAATGCATGAACGATATTTTGTGGTATTAAAGCTTGGGCTAGAACTGCAAGATATGTTAGATGTTAAAAGTCTGCTGTTTGGGTTTTTTACAAAAGGGTCAGAGTAATTTCACAGGTGTATTACATTTAGGTGTATTGATTCTTTTAGATGATAGTGTAGCATGTCCTACGGATCATGGATCAACTCCATGCGGGTCCGGGCTGGCGCCCCCACCGGCCGGACCCACCGGCACTACAATAGTAAATTACTTGCCAAGAACTTAGAAAATTAGTGGCCTGTGGTCTGTGGATTAACATTGACATTATTCAAGAGGGTGCACATTGATAAAAAGGTTAATTAAAAATTTTTTATTTGTTAGAATCATACTTTAAAAGTAACATGAATGTTGTTTTCCAAATGGAAATGTCATTTCAAACTTACACAGTCTCATGATTTTGCAATACATCATATGCTGTTTAAATTGAGCCAATTATGTTATGTACATGAACATACATGCATCTGAGGGTCTCTGGCAGAAAAAGGGGCATTTCATTTTTATAAGAGCTGAAACATTTTTAAATTCTTAAAACAACATGAAGATACTGCACATGTACATTAAAAAGTTCCATTCTTTTAAAAAAATCTTCTTTTAACCTTTCAAAACCCAAAATTCAGATGGTGAAACCAGCAAACATCATGACTTTTCAAAAATTCCAAATCTTTTTGCCAGGGTAAATTTCACTAATCTGAGTTCAATCACACTACTGAATGTAGGATTTTCAATCAATAGACAGGAAATGCGTAAACCCAAGTGGAAAATGTGCCATATGGCGTCAGACATAATCCCTACACATGGAATGATTTCAGCAGTCACTAGTGCACAGTTTGCATGGCTTTTGGACTGTGTAGAGTAAGCCTTAAACCTAAACCTTCACAGAACTTTTAAAATCATTGGCAGTTTTGCAGGATTTTGCAGATTTTCTGGAAGGTGCATCCTAACCAAAAATACTCAACATGGGGACTTCTGCCACTTGAAATTGAAAGAGCAAAGGACTGGATTTCTGTACAGCATTAGAAATTGTAAGGATGCCAAAGAGATAGGATTTTAATTTAGATCACCAGGTAAACAGTCCTTTAATAGCTGGTAAGCGTAAATCTATGAATCGATTCCAGAAAAGAGCAATGCAAGATGATGTTGAAATATATAAATGGGCAATTCCACGGAAATGCCAACCTGATGGTTAAAAATTGGTTTTTATTTTGCATAGTCATATTGTCTACCATTTTGAAGAATCTCAGTAGAAGATTTCAAAAATAAGATTCAATTCTATTTTTAATGAGCAATTTACCAGATACACAGTTAAAGAAACAGTTACTAGGTAAAAAAATCTGCATAAACTGCCACTTCAGTGATATTGCATCTATTAATTCAGAGAATTCTGGAAAAAATTTTTGTATATTGTAATTCTTGAAATGCATACCATTCCAAAAATCCTGCAGATATAAAATTTCGCTGAAATGTGTCAGTCTGCAACGTGTATGTTTCCGAAATATCAAAAAGGTTTTTTCTCTGCCATTTGAATAAATTACATGTACATTCAATTTCATTTTGGATTCTCTGTTGTCCCAATAAACAATTATGGAAAAGAAAACCTACACACCTGTTGTTAATTATTCAAATGAACCATGAGAACAGACTGACTTGTGGGACTGCTCTGACATACACGTATGTGCAAATCTATGGCTGGGAATGCAAAGCATTCTGGGTAAAGTTTACAGTTCAGCTGTGGTCTCAGATGAAGGGTTTTTGCCACTGCTTCAACTGTACAAATTGCCCTAATTCCTCAAATTTTACATTTACATGATACATGTACGTGAACTGAAATTAGAAGAAGGGGGTTCTTTATTAGTTTTCCCCCTCATTTTTTTGGTAAAAATTACAGTATTTTAGCACAACTTCTACATTTTCCATCCTAACACATTTAAATAAAGCACAAACAATGTTTGGATGAATAGAAATCCATTCAAACACTCTTTGCCATCCTAAGGCAACTAGGGTGGAGCTTTTTCAAATTTGGGGGCAAATATCATAACGGAACAGTTTTGCACTTTTTCCCCCCCAAAACAGATAAAAATATGTAATTTCCCTTCTGCAGCACAAAAGGATTTTAAAACACCAAAAGCTTTCAGGGTCAGAACTTGACAAAGAGTCTTGCATTTGGATATTGGTTTAGGATGCATTTTGCACATACACTCAGACGATGTTTGTCTGTTACCATAGATATCTGTCTGTTACTGAGCATACATGCACATGTAGTAATTATCCCACTGTTTCATCCAATAGTGATTCAGGCAAACCACCACCATGTACATGTATACAAAGCAGGGACTTACCCTTATCATGTCTTCAGTACACCATTACATTTTATTAGCAAAAGAGAGTTTTGTCATTTAACACTAACCTAATAAAAGCTAGGTTGCAAAATTGTCAGTCTGTTACCATGGAAACACATAACCTTACATGGCTCAAAATACACTTGAGTTTAGGTCCTGACCTTACTATAGTCACTTTACAGATGGGAAACATTGTGAAAACGCCTGCCGATGTGTCAGTCTGTTACGAGTGAAATTGCCCAAATGTACATGTTCATGGGGATATTATCAAAATGTGCAAGACATTGCAAAAACCTACAAGTTAAACAAATATTATGCTACAAATTATCTTGGAATGTAAAAATGTGACAATACATTAAGAGATGTCTCACGTATCTTTAACCAAACGACCACCAAGGGTCGACATTTGTACTACATGTAACTTAAATCCAACTTTGAACAGGACCGAGGCTGTGGTATTTTGTTTAAAAAGTTTGTATGTTTGGCCTGGGACCTTCCAGTTCCAGTGTTTGAACTGTCTGCACCATGCCCTGAGGAGGAGGCTGCCCCAATTGAGTTGTGCACTGCCAGAGAAGCATTGTGTTGCACACTACTGTCAATACCTTTCATTCTGAATGGTGTTTCCATAGAAATTAGAAAGATGGAGTCTTGGAGTCCCTACTATTGAATTTTGAAGAGGTGACACGACCAGTGAAAAAGCCTACTTATATGTTCCTTTTCAACATGGAGGCTGATTAGTCCTCACACCTACAGTACATGTGTACCCTTTCCCATCACACTGACCTTGCCAATTAAGTCATCCAAGTCTCAGTAAAAGCATGGTAAAAGGGTGTTTTCCCAGATGAGTTTTACAGGCCATTTTCACATAGTTTTAAGCTATAGAGCAGATAACAGTGTAAACATGTGTTGTTGAATGAGTGGAAGGATGGGGGATGACCACTGAGAGTTACGGGGGAGAGGGCTGGTAACCATGTAGCACCATCACTGGAGCCCCTCAGCCACCCCCATCCTCTTAACATGGTATTATCGCCATGTATACTATTACGAGTTAACTAAGAATAGACTAAATATGTATTCCTTTATTCAATTTCCTCAAGATGAAACCTTTATGTGTAATACAGTACCTGTAGGTATGCTTGGCTTTGAAAAATGATAGTATTGAAATGGAAAGAAGTAATTCAGAGTTGTTGAAAATCATCCAAATTTAATGGAAAACATCTTAATATTATAATGGCACTCTTATCCTGTACTTCATCTGTATCTCTTCTCTGAAGACTGAATATGACGACTGACAATATATTATTGAGTTACCTGATTAGCACCTGTTTCTGAAATGATTGTATGGGGGATGATAAGCATTTTTATTTTTGCTTAGTACAAAAAAAACAGGGGGCAATTCTATGGCCCAAATCCCCTGTCCCAAAAATTGGGGGGGTATATTTATAGGTAAGAAACAAAAAAGTGAAGTTTTTGAAACAGCAGTTAAAGTTAAACTGGTATCACAAAACAGAGCATGAAATCTGGTCAAGACCACATATTGGTGAAAGTTGTTGGAAAATTTGGTTCTCTTGCATTGGAGCTTGGATGACCTTATAGTCAAACTCAAAAATCAGACCCACTACAGTCACTTGAATCTGAACACTGTGGTGCATGTACCACTGTTTCTACATACATGTATATATTTGTGGATACATTTCTAAGCAATGGAAGGTTGAAAAAAGGAAGGTAACATCTGTGAGGCTTCAGATTGAGCAAAATAGAACTGTAAATCAAAATTCACAGCTATGATCTTCAAAATGGATCACAAAAAGTAAAAATTAGGCGACTTCAGTGAGAAAATCGACTAAATAATGGTTTTTTTGCCAAGAAAAATATGATGAAATTCTAAAAAATGCCATCCACTCTCGCTTCACACTTGTTCTGACCACATGAATTGGCCATCACAATTGGATGCACAGGGATGCAAGGGCATCATTCAAAATGCTTCACATTTCACATAAAGGCAGGTACCAGCACATTTCTTTATATACCCATCAGGGAAAGAAAGTCAACCTGGATCTCTTTCATATAATTTCAACAACTTTATTAGTCTTTAAAAGCAAGCCATAACTTCTATGCTAGGAGCAAAAATGAAACTCTAATTAATTGAAAGGGTTGTTGAATGCATCACATATTCATCTCAAGTGCTAATAAAATGGCTACACTTTTGAAGAAACAATGATTGATTGGCTTCAGCGAAGACATTTTTGAACCTGCAAACAGTGGTGAATCTCCACTTCCAAATTAAGCCACTACCAGGCATAAGCCATGCAACTGAGTTTTATTGAACCTGTCAACAGTGTGGCGTCTCCTTGCAAAATGCAAACCACTAGGAATGAGCCACACGGCTGACTTCTGCTTCTTCTGCTGCTTCTGCTGGCTACTGTACAATCGCCAAAATTCTGGCTGTCCCGTACAGATGACGCCGCAAGGGATCTGGTTGCAACTAAAAGAATTAATTTGTAAAATGAACTTGTTGGGACTGAACAGCAAGATCAATTCTGTCAATCTCGGTCTTGAAAGTGCCAAGAGTCGCTAAACATTGAAAAGAGCTAAGCTAAACATTGCAAAGATTTCTCAACATTGGGGGCTTGTACAGTGTGCCCTCAGTCACCAAGAATAGGTCTTCCTGCATGATGTAGACCTCTGTACTTCCACAAAATGCCCTCTGTGAGAGCAACCCATGGAGCCTCTCTATGAATAGTTCAGAAATCAAATACAGTCAACTGTTCATTTATTTCTTTACTTCAAATTTTTCCCACACTATAATGCACCCTTCAGAAACTCTTGGTCAGTGGCTGTTCAACCATGGAGGTATGTTGCACATTCGTCAATCAAAGTGGAAGCCTTCCATCCAATTTATACAGGGGATTATAATACATGTTGTTAACATCTTTTACAGCATGAAAATGAATACAACTTTTTGGGGGGAGTGGAACACTAGAGATCCATGTATTTTCATATGTATTTTCACATGTTCATGTATTATCAGATTATATAATGAAATCTTAAATATCTAACATTAAAGGTGTCAATTAGGTTTCTCCCTACCTATCAAAACATCACTTGTTCCTCTAACCCCATTGAGTCCACACCCCACTGGCCTCACTAATATCACTGGTATCAATAGCTAATTTCCCTTTCAGTTGCCATGTTGATTTTAGCACCCCTGCCTGTGCGAGTAAGTGAACAAAGCTAGAGGAGAAAAAATTGTCTACACAATAGCAACAATCACGAGCATCCATTTGCCAAACGTTACGCAACATTGTTGTCAAAGCCTATTCTGAACTTGCACACGTGAAACGTGGAGAAGGCTTATATGGTCCTACTTACTTGAATTAATAAATTCCACAAACCGGCTCCCAGGGGTAAACTTTCTTCCGGGTGTTGGGTAGAATTGCTACGCGTGGAAAATGAATGTTAGTAGGACCGTTCAGAGATTAAACTTGATCATGCATGGAACACACACAGCACTAGCACAGATGATAGGCCGCTATTACAACAATCCTCGGCAATCCTAGCAATTAGCATGGAGATAACACAAGAGCGCCCAGACAGCCACAACACGATGGCATTGTTCAGTATCAGAGTATCAACATGAACAGTCAGTATACAGGTAGTGCACAGGCCTAATTACCTAGCCCTGCATGTTATACGGCACGAAGCCAAGCCAGGCCAAGGTCATCTAAAAATAACTGGCTAGTGTGTAAGAACTAGTACCAATACATGCGGTTGCGTGAATTGCCTACAGATGCCATAGCAATACCATAGACCTGGAGGAGGTCTATACTATAATTTGCCCTACCGAGCTCTGGCGCTAACTACGTATTCATCACGCGTTATGTAATAATCAGTTCAACCAGATTTGCCACCAGTCCTTCCACTTTTAACATTATACTTCCAAGTCCTACCTCCCTACAATTGCAACTCGGCTTGTTGGTGTGAACCATGGTTCGAACTAGTCTATGGTTTAGGCTAAGCCCAACCTGAATGCTGCCAAATATATCTGTATATAAATGCATCCGGCGGAAACACTGCCTATCTACAGGCCTTTTTTAGGATTAGGTAATAGGATGGACAATTGACAGAGCTGAGGTCAATATTAACGATAAGGGTCCATGGAGAGGAGGTAGTCGGAAATCATTCATTCCCTCCCCGCGGCCTCCCTTCACGCACAGCCATCATCATTCACCACATTAGACATTACGAAAGCCCTGTAGTGTAATTGAGTATGTATTTTTTTTTTTTAAAAAGTCACATATTGTTTTTCAAGTTCGTTTTATAAAGTTCGTTTTCTCAGCATTCGTTTTTACTAAATATATTTTTTCGAAGTTCGTTTATAAGAAAAATTTGTTCCCCAAAGTTCGTTTGAACCATGTTTGAACAATAATATCTTCTCCAGTTGGTTCTTACGGGATCTTTTGTTAGAAACATTGTTCTATGTCTTTATTTATTTAAAGAATTCCTTTTTTATAAGATTCATTTTTTCAAGTTTGTTTTAACTTTTTATGAGATACATATTTTTTTCATTTTTAAGTATCAAGAGATAAGCTTTGAAGGTTTTCGTAGTGAAGGTATCAAGTTAGTTATAAGGTTTGTGGTAGTACCATGCAAGGATATCTCTTTCTGAGTGTGCTTGGTTCTGAAAATGCTTAGAAAGATAATTATATCCTCACAAAAAGTAAGCGTGCCACCGCAAAACTCTGGATTTCAAGAGTTGTATAATTATTTTCAAGTTCACACCCCACACCGGTCACCACGCCCGATTATTAGTGTTAGCGCGCCCTCAAGCGTTGCAGTATGTACGTTGCTTTGCAACAGTACATACAAAAATGTCGGCCTGCATGTACGCTGTACTTCGTACGGGAATGAATCCCACGCCAACCTGAAGCTGAATAATGATTCTCCATGAATAACGCAAGGCTAGTCCTAGCATATCTTTACTACATCTGTCAGATTAGTGGTAAGATGCGATATTAATTAAGCTGTTTCAATGTCCTGTAAGGAAAGAATGTTAACTTGCATCCTGACTTCAAGCGCGGTATGTCCAGGGATGGAAGAAAAAAGACTGAAAACATATTGCCTTATTGCTGATACTGCATGGATGATTTTGGTAGAAAGGCATTGTGAGAAGGAAAAGGGGGCAATGTTTTCTCCTTTTTCCTTCCCATAATGCCTTTCTACCATTGTCCAAAATCACTCATGCAGTAGCGGTATCACAATCACTACCAGCAATAAGGGTTAAGCCTGTGAGTTTGTTGTCCGCGGCTGAAGAGAATTTTCTTTTAAACGTCACAGTTCTAACGTTATTATGTAGTGTAAAGTGGAAAGGAAAGAATTCCATATACAGACACCACTAACTCCTGTTCCTATTTCCAACGATCGTTACTTTTTCATGTGTTTTGCCCCTCCAAAATTAAGAATTCCTACAATGTACATCATAGGCCTAGACCTACAGTAAAGGTTTTCTCCTTTTGTTAATTTTAAATTGACTCAAACACATCATAAACCTTTTTGACGTTCACAGTGTATTATGGGTTTTGACAAGCAATGCATTTTACGCACAACCCTATTGAAGAAGTGTACCTGCAAAATGTTAATCTGTTTCTATTTTGTTTCATACTCCAAGGCAAGCCTTCTGTTGACAGTGTTGCATTATTGATTTGGGATAAAAGGAAAATTTGGGGAACCGCTTCCAACAACACAAGTTTTTGTCATTGGTTGTGCATTGACCATGGAGGAAGGTGTTCCTTCCTCCTCCATGCTTTGACTAAGATCATGAATATTAATGCTTTAGTATTGTCCAATCAAAATCACAACTTGTAGCTCATTCATCCCACATTGACTAGGCATGTTTATTTTCAGCCTGTAGAGTGACTGGTTCACTAAAAAATACAATTAAAGGTCATTTCTTCTTCTTACATACATGTGCATTTGAAAAATTATTTGTTAATTTGAAAATCTTCCTTGTATAATACTGCATGCCTATTTCAGGTGATAAGCAGATACATGTAGGTGATCCACTGATAATATTCAGATAACTCAATATTATGCAGACTCCATAAAGACTAATGAAAGCCATGTTTGATTCAATATTTCGTTCTTTATTCAGAACATCTTCAGGAATGAATTCCTGAAGATGTTCTGAATAAAGATGATGAATTTCTGAATAAAGATAATGAATTCCTGAAGATGTTCTGAATAAAGAACGAAATATTGAATCAAACATGGCTTTCATTAGTCTTTATGGAGTCTGCATAATATTAAGCAGATACATTCTGAAGGAAAGTGTAAATTGATTTCTGACTGGTTCGCTTCTCCCCCCATAGGTGCATTGCGAACATCAAAAAACGTATATTACAGAGTTTTGCTTTTTTCTGATTAATATCTCAACAACCTTCTGGTACTGTATGTTGGCGAAGAATTAGACTGAGATTTTTCACAGTAAGAATTTCTAAGATCAACAGAAAGTTTTTGTGCATTTAATCCCGTTAATGTGTGCTCTCGGGGGGGGGGGGAACTTGAGAACCACATGCCTGTTCTATTTGGAATAGAGCAATCATGTGGTATTGTATTAGTGTAATGGGGGGCTGTTCAGCAGAAAGCAATGTGTGACTGGATGTAAATATACACTTTAAACATTTAACCTGTTATGTAGAGTGTTTTATACTGGGCAGAATTTGCACGATTGCTCGATCTTGCTGTACAATCTGTTGTCAATTCCTCCTTCAGACCAGTGCCTGTTCTGTGCAATTCGTGGGCGTGGAAGATTGTTTCAAAAAAGAAAGTGAAGTTGGAGATTTTTTACCAGATCAACTGATAGCACAATGTTACCAGGCTATCATGCTGATTCCTGATATGGAGGAAGGGTAACAGTACAAGATGCAAGGGTTGGCCGTGCACATAAAATGTAGTTTTCCAAGAGACCTTGAGTGTAGAAATTATGATAGGAAATTAAGAAAACTAATTGTGAGTGCATGAAAGAGATAATTATTAAACTAGACAAACTGAAAATGTCAAACTACATGTAGGCCTATAAAATGAGTTAACAACATAATCATTGCAGACATACATGTACAGGTGTACATGTACATGTACATGTGTGATTAAAGTAAAAATGTAACATGACAAAAAAGTGTATAAACATGCTGTTAAACAACAGATTTAAGGGCGACATAAAGATATCAATTTAAGAATATATGCAAAAAAATGATAACGATGAACAAAGAAATTATTGATCCCGCTCCAGTCAATTTCTTTGTTGATCTTTATTATCATTTTTATCATTCATATTTTTATCATTCCCTACATAATTTGTTTCAAAATTCGAAATGCAAAGTAAAATTTTGAAAATCAGAAATTCAGAGGATTAAACTAGTAAACATGAGCACAAGTGTATTGGGGATATAAAAGAACTAGAGTTTAACTAGTATGTAATTAAAATGCTAAACAAAGCGCTTTCAAAACATCAATTTTAAGTTATTCAAGGCAGTAGCTCCAGTCACCAAAGGACTGTGCTTTCATTAAGCACTCTGAATTGCATCCTTTGTTGCATGGATTATTGCTAGAGCATAGATCATGAGATGCACTACATGTACATTGTACTGATGTATGACGTGGAAGATGCAGCAATTTTGTACAAATGTATGCAAAACTGATAGGGTCAAGAAAGGACAGAGCAGAAAGTTGCAGTGCACTGTCCCAGTGCTGCACCTAATGTTTTTGTTAAGAATTCTAATAATTACAAGAAAAGACTGATAATTAAAAACGTCAAAGAGAAGAACAGTTTGTTGGGCATAATGTGGTGCAGTGATTGCCTTGCCAAGGTACTTGAACCTTTCCACGTGGCTACCTGTATTTTCTGCTAAAGGATCATTTTCTGCTGTGTTGTACATGTACATGTAGACCACACCATTTGTTCTATCTGTATGGAGCAGATAGATGATCAACTTCACTAGCAGAAGGAATACAGCCCACTCTAAGTACATGAACTCACTTGTGTTCAGTGATGGAGTGACTTTACCATGTGGGAAATAGAAATACATGGACCGTTTTTCAATACTCAACTTCGGCTCTGTCTCAGGCTTCAACTGTTTTTTTTACTACCTGACTTTGAAGCTGTAAGTGCACTAATTAGTCTAATAGTGCCACAAAACATCAAATAAGATGCAAGAGAGCAAAGACTTATAGTAATCCAATTTGATTTAAACGCTTCAGGCCCACAATCAGGGATTGGTTTCGGGGACGAAGCCTGAGACGGATTCGAAGTTGAGTATTGGTAAAGGGCCATGTACACTCCCAAGTTGTAGTTCATATACCTTCCTTTAAAAAAGGAAGTAGGGAGGGGAGGGGTGAAAATTGGAGGGTCCCAAATCTTAGATGTACGTATACTCGCCCCTTTCCATTAAATTTCTGCACACAGGCCTGAAGGCCCCATCAATGAAATCTTTACACTTACATGTAGTTTTGGTGATTTTGCAAAGAAAAGATTTGTAAAATACATGTAGTTCTAATTCCCATTGCATGACATTTGAAATACATGTAGGTGTCTACGTAAGTGGAATTTGTTTCATATGAAATGAGCGGCACGTTAAGGATACCGGTTGCATACATTTAGTGTACATGTAAATATATTTAAGAACATTGACCTTTTTGTACCACATTCAAATTAAAATACACATTTTCTTTCATTTGCAATTCCTGATTTTCCCCAAATTTCCTATGAAAGTTTTTTGGGTCACATCAGAGAGATACATGTATGTTGGGTAAGGAAACAGGAAGCACAACCATTAGTTTAGAATTTTTCTTAAGATGAAATTCATACAGTAGTTACCATTTCTACATGTATACAATGTGTACCAGTATTTATTTGTTTCAGTTGTGCCATAAAGTATTGCAAGTTCCATTCATTGTGCGTGACTGTAGAGAAAAATAAACCTGCATAAACTTTGGATTTGACTTAAGCACATCATCCTCTTGGCAACTTTGTTGCCATAGCAACCACTTGACTTCATCAACTGTAATACATCTGAGTGATGCCAAGGGACGGTCCTTGTAATACATGCCTCACTTCCCTTGCTTCATTTAAACCACACAGTTGGTATTTGAACTCAACTCTGTTGCTGTGGAAACTGCATTACAGTAGCAGATCAGCTTAGGATACAGTTTTAACACGTTCAGATGTGTATCTTGTGAGTTTGTACATACGGTAGCACCAGACATCGATCATTTTCTACACTAGCACACATGGAATCTCTGTGAACAGAACATGCTGTACATGTACATGTGTTTGGACATGGACTTTATTGTACTTTTCTCTCCACTTTTGTCTCATTTTAATGAATATTTTCTGAATGTACATGTATCTTTGCTAGCTGTACTGCTTAAATGTAGAGCAGTTATAGACCGTGCTGCAGGATTTCCACTTACATGTTCATGTACACTATACAAGCTGTAAGTAAATTTTACTGATCAACGTGCACTTGTAATTCAGTTTGTTACTAATATGTTCTTCATGGTATCAGCAAGAGCTGTCATCAGAAAATTATGCATGTAGCATTGACATGAAATTTGGTCTACTGTGATGCATTTTTTTCTCCAACGAGTGTAAAAATGGATTTGTTATTCTGTTTCTTGTCTTCAGAAATTCTATTGAGAAATTCAATGTTATTCTATTTCTTGTCCTTGGTTTCAGAAACCATGATGTGAATGATTGATCATCAAACCACACCAGACAACCTGGCCTGCCACCCGACTGACTCTCCTGACCAGCCCAGCATGAAGTCCTCCCAGAATGACCACCAGAATCCCTCAGGCACCCACATCAGCTCCATCCAGCGGCCCACAGCCAAGTACAACCGCTTTTCTAACAAGGTGCGGCAGATCACACCAGGTCCCTTGCAGTGTGCCATGTTTTGCGGAGGCAAAAACTGCAAGTACGACAACCCCGCCAAATGGTCAGAGAGTGAGATGGCACTGAAAGGCTTGTATTCATCCTGGTAAGTTGTTCAAAATAAGAAACTTCCAGTTTAGTGAGGTCCTGAAAACCTGATGCAAGCATGACCATTATGTTCAGTTATTTCTCTCAACTTTAGTGAGAAGGATCATTATGATGGTGTCCTGTTTCCCTCTATCTTGTTTTGACCATTTTCCTGATTTTTTGCCCAACCCACCATCTTCGTCTGACAAAGATCTGTTGTTTTTTATCCCCACTCATCCCAAAGAATGCCATTCTGTCTGTCCTTCTTTCCCCAAAGATTTTGCCTGTCTGTTGGTAATTTATTTACTTCTGATGAAGACCTTGTGTTTCATCTCCCTGTAAAAAGGTTTCTCTCCTATCAGGCAAAGGTAAAGATTTAGTTGTTATTGGATGGATGGAAAAATTTACACGGTGGTTGGTTACTGACCACTTTATGATTTTTTCATTGTGTGCAGTCGGTGGAAAAGTTGACATCAACCATGCATTCAAAATTGAACATTACACTACAATGTTAAATGTCCAATATGTTCATAAGTGTGCAGGACATAAGGATAACTACTGATTTCATCAGTGCCAAGAGTATTGCGCAGTTTGTTCGCTGGTTTTATTTGTACATGTATGTGTATCTCTACATACACGTACATGTGTGCATGTAGCAGCTACTACATCTAAATTCCTCCTGTGCTGTGCAGCTGCTGTCAAAAATAGCAACTTTTTAATTTATATTGCACGTTGGGGTAAGAAATGGCTTAAATTAGACTTTTTCTTTAAAAAGCCAGATGAACAAAGAATTGACGCAGGCAGCTGCCAGTCTATTTTTTTTCAAAACATGAGTTCATTTTAATACTTTCCAATTTTAGTTAAGTTATGAAAAATAAGGAGGCAGAGAATGTTATTTTTGAAAAACCATGTCTACAAGTGCTTTGATGTCATTTGTAGCCAGCAGCAAACCAGAAATTCGGAGCTTTGCAGGGGAAGTTTTATATTCCAGACAAGCTTTTTTTCACAACTAAACCTATCATCGTAAGGTTACAGGTGCATGTACATGTAAATGATGTGCTTAATATTCTCTTTTGTGATACTTTGTCAAAGTCAGTTTGTAAATTTCCCAACTTACTCTATAATGAAACCCAAAATGTGAAACTTGATTGTGGAAGTAATGTAACTGACCCCCTCACAGCATAATCCAATATTGCCAAACCACCGGTAGGAGCCTGGAGTTTGTGCCCTATTATTGAGGTTTTTTTCATGTTATCTCTCATTTCCAGGGTTGGAGAAAATATCTTGGCTATTGCAAGGCCGTCATCAGAAGCTATTGAAAAATACAGGATAGTGGAGCAGTTTAAGCAGTAAGTCTTTCATAAATAAAATGAAACAATGATTTAGGGCTTTCAATTGAATACAAGTGTACATGTAGGCCCACAACCTTATGATTATGTTTAGTTGTTTTAATATTAAGGGAATAACTATTTGCTTAGCCGGTCTTTAACGTTCATTGAAAACTGGCTCAGGAGAATGGACGCGACTGATGCCCGAGCTGCAGGCAAAGGCATTATTATTTTAAGACAAGCACATATTTATTCCCATTCATAAATACCATTTCAGTCAGAGTCAAAAGAAGTCAATATGTGATAAATTTCCATTTTGTTCAAGAATTTTACTTTTTGTTTTCTGGAATTTCCTCATCCGTTTAATAATAATGATAATGATTTCTTTAAAGTGCCTTCCATAGAAACCAATCTCAGGGCACTGTACATTTGAATAATAACATCAAGAATATTAAACATTAAAAAATGAAAACTTATTACAGACTCTTAAGACTGAACAAAGTTACCGATACTTTAAAAGATGCTAACAAAATTTACCAGATTAAAAATATTACAAAAGTAATAGACTACCGGACGTTTCAACTAAGCCCTATACACATTACTAAAAATATATGTTTTAAGAGAAGATTTAAAAACATCCCAGGAAGTAACAGCCCTAACAGGAAGTGGAAGATTATTCCAAAACCTGGGAGCACAGGGCCCAATTTCATGGTGCTGCTTACTGCTGAATTCTGCACTTACGATCTCCAGTCTGCCCTAACAGCACTAGTAAAAAATTCTGCACTAATCTTTTAAGCACAGAATCCTCAGTTACAGGATGTACGCATGCACACAAACCAAAATTCCTCGCTAAGCCATGAAATATGTTTGCTGTAAGCACAGAATATTCTGCTATGGTAAGTGCTGATTTTTCGCTTGCAGTAAGCAACGCCATGAAATTGGGCCCAGGTCTGAAATTCCCCCTACAAAAATGTCCCATGAGGGTATCCCATGGGAAAATTTCCCATGGGATTACATGGTGAATTGGCCACCATGTACATGTAGCATGGGATTTTTACCCATGGCATTTTGCCCATGCGTATTTCATGAACCCCATGTAATCTCCCAAAATATTCCCATGGTGATTTAATTGTCACATCCCATGGTGATTTTCCCACACATCCAATGGTGATTTACCCATGCGTCCCATGGTGATTTACCGTTGTGTCCCATGGTGATTTTCCCATGCATCCCATGGTGGTTGCCCCATTTGTCCCATCATTGTCCCATTTGTCCCATGGTGGTTGCCCCATTTTTCCCATGTCGATTGTCCCATGCATCCCATGGTGATTGTCCCATGCATCCCATGGTGATTTTCCCATGCATCCCATGGTGGTTGCCCCATTTGTCCCATGGTGATAGTCCCATGCATCCCATGGTGATAGTCCCATGCATCCCATGGTGATTGTCCCATGCATCCCATGGTGATTGTCCCATGCATCCCATGGTGATTGTCCCATGCATCCCATGGTGATTTTCCCATTTGTCCCATGGTGGTTGCCCCATTTGTCCCATGGTGATTGTCCCATGCATCCCATGGTGATTTTCCCATNTTGTCCCATGGTGATTGTCCCATGCATCCCATGGTGATTGTCCCATGCATCCCATGGTGATTGTCCCATGCATCCCATGGTGATTTTCCCATTTGTCCCATGGTGGTTGCCCCATTTGTCCCATGGTGGTTGTCCCATTTGTCCCATGGCGATTGTCCCATGCATCCCATGGTGATTTTCCCATGCGTCCTATGGTGATTTTCCCATGTCGATTGTCCCATGCATCCCATGGTGATTGTTCCATGTCAATTGTTCCTTGTGTCCCATGGTGATTTACCCATGCCTCCCATGGTGAGTGTCCTGTGCATCTCATGGTGATGGGCAAATTTGCAGTCATCAAATCAACATTCCATTCCAAACTGTGTACTGTAGTTCATGCCAATGCTGCATTTTAATGGCAGCAGATAATATGGTTTACAATACAACAAAGCCTCTAAGTGTACCTGCGTAGATGCCATATCAACAGTGTTCTCTTGATGATTGCAAAAATTTGAATAGTAATTGTGTGGCGTTTCCATGGTGTCCACACACAAATCACATTGTATTCCCATGTAATGTATACTGTAAAAACCCCATGGTGTTCCCATGCTGATCATAAAAGCCCCATGGTGTTCCCTCGCTGATCATAAAAGCCCCATGG